TATCTTCTCATCACTTCCTCTTATAAACGCCTTGAAATTGGCCTCTGTCTCTTTAAGAACTACCTTCTGCTTCTGTCTCGCCCATTTCGGTGGGCGGGGGGTTCGCACTCGCGGGGGGTCTGCCATGATGCAGTTTACTTGGCATCTGAAAATACATTTACTCAAAGGTATTTTTAATCTGAAACGAGCTTCACTGAGTGAGAACTAATGTATAGAGCTCAGCAGACAGGTTAAGCTTCACTTTCACTTTCACCGGAGAGCCTGCAGGAGTCATGGGTGGGGTGGGGGGAAGGGGGTGCTCTGCCATGAGGAAGTTCGGCTTAAAGACACGTCCCAGGGGCATTTCTGGCCCCCAAAGTCATTTCTGGTCCCCACCTGTCGTTTTGCACCTCAGCATGGCTTCCTAAAAATGCTGCAGGATTTCTCAAACATGCATGAATGAGTCAGAGCAAGGCTTTGGGCATGTTTTTTTATGAGAGTTTAACATTATAACATGATATAAAACTCAAAAAAGTTGAATTYACATGATATTGCCCCTTTAAAACTTGGTAAGATGGACAGTTTTTACAGTGTGTTTTGTTATGGTAATGCCAAATTCCCTCTCAAGCCCTTTAGCACATTTTTTTCCCTCCATGTGCCTGAAGCTCATAAGAACATCATTTTATTACAGGATCATTCTTTTTTCTTGTCTGATTTATCCTCCAGGTGAGTTGGTTAGTTGTATTGGCTTGTTAGTGTTTTGATCCTACGCAGAGCTGCATGGCAGTTTTGGTAATTGCTGGAAACAAGAGTGCCATGACTCATTCAAGGCTGCCATTGTTTACCCAGCTGCAGTGCTCTGGCACTGCAGGTCGATAATAACATAATCCATAGTGAGATAGCCTCGCTTCCTTAAGCCCCACGCTCTCTGAAGTGGAGCACCAAGAGTCTATTCATTCCAGCAGTGGGACTCCACAGTTATGAGCATAATAAGTAGAACAGAACACAAGAATGCAAGATAAGGAGAAGGGAGGGACGAAAAAGATAAGTGTTGGCATCAGCAGATTCTGTCCAGACTGAATCAATGTGTGTGTGTGTTTACCTTGAACAGGAAGGATAGGAAATGCAGCACTAGGGAAGGTGTATGCCCCAGATCCAGATGACTGGGACAACAAGACCTACAGTCTGGAGACGAGTGCAGCCAAGTAAGAGATTCCTGCTAAATGCATGCATGTTTTTTCTGTATAAAAAAGCTCAGCATTGAGCTTATAGTCAGTGCTGTATAAAGCACCACAAAGTCATACTTGAGTAAAAGTACAGGTATCTTACCAAAAATTTACTTTGGTAAAAGTTAAACTCTCCTTTAGGAATATTACATGTGTAAAAGTCTTAAAGTAGCTGAAATTTTTTGTACTTAAGTATTAAAAGTAAAAGTATTGATTCAAAATGAGCATTTAGATTTTCTGTAATGACATTTATTAGGAGGTGACCTCCCCAAAAAATATAGAAATGACTGTTGTATTAAAATAATTAATTGATATTAAATTTAGGATGCACTAGTCTAGCTGTTTCAGTTTATACACATATGTCAAGGCTGCGGCCAAATGCAATAATATAATTCATGAAATACAAATACTTCTTAAGTACAGTCCTTTTATTTTAATGATTACTGAATGTCCTGCTGGAGCGTGACATGATTTGTTTGTGTACAAACTAATACAGTATCAGAATTTAATATATTTATTCTTCTCATTCAAGCACAATTAAATTCACTCCATCTAGGAGGCACAGTTTATATGGATAGTATTTATTTTTTACAATAACAAGCTGGAATGAAAACAAGCAAAAATGAAATAAAAATGATGACTTTCTACTTGTCTTTTTAAAAAAATGTACGTAGAAAGTACAGATAATTGTGTGAAAATGTAAGAAGTAGAAGTAAAAGTAGTCTGAAAAATATTTACTCAAGTAAAGTACATATA